AGAGACTTCCATTTCAACTGCCTTGCCCCAGAGGGAGGAGGGAAGAGCGGAGTTCCAGAGGCCTCCATTCCATAGTTTTTAAACTGCCTTGTCTTTGGAGACAAAGGGGAAAGAAGGGGAAACAGCCCCACATGGCTCAGCAACTATTATGCAAGGAACACAAAAATACGAATGCATGTGTGACTATTACGTGGTGGCAACTGTTTCGCAAAGAAATACGGTAATTACTCAAAGTAAAGTTCAAGCTCCTTGCCCATTATTCCAATTGAATTTTTGTACCTATATTTTGAGTCTATGGGCCCTTCCACACAGCCATATAACCCAAAATATTAAGGCAGGAAATCCCACTTTTTTTTTTTTGCGTTGAACTGGAATATATGGCAGTGTGGACTCAGATAATCCACTTCAAAGCAGATATTGTGGGCTTTCCTGCCTTTATATTCTGGGATATAGGGCTGTGAGGAAGGGCTTCTTTTTTTAAAAACCATACTAGCCATCCCCTGCCATGCGTTGCTGTGGCCCAGTCTGTGTATATGTGTTTTATGTGTGTATATGTGTGTATATATATTTGTGTATATGTGTGTTTGCGTTTATATATGTGGTTTTGCACATGCGTTGTAATGGAATTTTTGTTTTTTGGCTTTTTAAGTCTCTTCTTTAAGTCTTTTCAGTGTTTTTATGAGAGATGGTCATTTGTTGGCCTGATAGGTGTGTTGTGTCCAAATTTGGTGTCTATTTGTCCAGTGGTTTTTGAGTTACATTAATTCCACAAATGAACATTACATTTTTATTTATATAGACTAGCTGTCCCCTGCCACGCATTGCTGTGGCCCAGTCTGTGTCTGTGTTTTGTGTGTGTATATATGTGTGTGTATATATTTGTGTATATATGTGTGTTTGCATATATATGTGTGTGTGTATATATATTTGTGTATTTGTGTGTTTATATGTGTACATGCATATTGTGTATATGTGTGTGCTTGTCTATATGCATATCTGTATGTATATATTTATGTGGATATATATGTGTGTGTGTGTGCATGTGTATATATGTGTGTATGTATATGTTTGTGTGCATATGTGTATATTTGTGTGTGTTTGTGCATATATATACGTGTGCATGTATGAATGTGTGCATGTGCATATGTATATGAGTGTATGTGTATATGTATATATGGTGTATTTTTTGAGTTTTTAAGTCTGCTCTGCTGGGGTTTTGTATGTGTGCATGTGCGTATGTGTGTGTTTATGGGTGACAGACACTTATTGGATTGTTAGGTGTCTTGTGTCCAAATTTGGTGTCAATTCGTCCAGTGGTTTTTGAGTTAATTCCACAAATGAACATTACATTTTTATTCATATAGATTGTCATATTATCTTTCACTTATTCTTCCTCCAGTTCATATTTCAACATATTTCAACAACAATTTGCACATTTTTGCAATTAAGTGATCATCCCTTGTATAAATAAGCGTTTCAAATTCTGGTTTAACTGTTACAAATCCAAATAAGTTTTATCAATCTCAAACTGCTCGGTGATTTGTCTATGGGCAAATCATTGCACTGGAAAACCTTCCATCATTAACTCCTCTCCCACCTTTAACCTATATTGGTAATTATCCAATCTTAACCATTCTTTATCAGTCAACCATTTCCTTTCTAAAGAGATTTCTGGAACTAATGTCATGCCCATACCACTAAGAACTTGCCACAATTTATTTATTATGATCCGCACAGTCAAAGGCTTTGGAATAGTCAATAAAACAGAAATAGATGGGAGGCAGTAACTGGTAAATAGTTTCAATGTCATTCTCATGAGAGCTCTGGTATGAGGCGATATGTGGAATGATTTGGTTTAATGAGCTGATGGTGGAAAGACCCATGCAAGGGACCAGTTTTCCCAACTAACAAAGGGTTGAAAGCCCATGGACTGTTCAAATTGCTTCACCCATAAATATGCTATGCAAATATTCACTCTTCAGTTCTAACAGTGTCTATTGTAATGCGATCAACTCTTCTGTCTTAAATATCGTTTCTAGACTTTGGGAGCTTTGTCCCCTAACCTGGAGTTTGCCTGTACCACAGATTACATCCTTTAGTATTGCTGAATGAAGTACATCAGATTCTGGGTACTTGGATTTATTTTAAACAGGTAGGCATTCTGCATTACATTTTTACCTATTTGGGGCTTCGGTCCTCTTATTTTATCAGTTGACTATATTCAACAGGTGCAGAAATGATTTCATTTTAGAAGAAGACAGAGATGATGTCGAGGTGTTCCATTCTCTTTCCATCACATTAACACTTCACAATATTCTCCATGCAGTGGCCATATAATTTCCTTGTTCTTCCTTTTGCACCTAAGTACAGCTGGCCTTCTGTAACCCTAGATTATGCATCCACAGATTTGGCCATCCATGCCCTGAAAATATTGTAACAAAACATTTCAAAAAGGAAATATGGTACTATTCCATTATCTGGGCAGAGGCCACTAGGGCACGCTAGAGAGAGGAGGATAGCCCATTTAACAGGGGGGAAGGGTGGGTTGAAGGAGTAAAATTATTTCCCCCCGTTTTCCTATCATTCTCCTCACTCATGTCTCCATTGTGGAAACAACTCTAGTTTATGATATGGGAAGGGAGAAGGGAGAAAAAGTAGCAAAAACAGAGAGAACGGTTTTCTTCCTTCAATTCCCTCCCTGCAAAATGGACAATCCTTCTCTCTCTAGTGCCTTCTAGTGGCCTCCACCCAGATAATGGAACAGTACCGAAAATGTTGATTTTGCCATTTTATATAAGGGGCACCATGTTACTACAGCAATGTATATAATGTGGAGCCCCCGGTGGTGCAGTGGGTTAAACCCATGTGCCAGCAGGACTGAAGAATGACAGGTCACAGGTTTGAATCCGGGGAGAGCGCGGATGAGCTCTCTCTATCAGCTCCAGCTCCTCATGCAGGGACATGAGAGAAGCTTCCCACAAGGATGATAAAACATCAAAGCATCCAGGTGTCCCCTGGGCAACATCCTTGCGGACAGTCAATTCTCTCACACCAGAAGCAACTTGCAGTTTCTCAAGCCGCTCCTGACATGACCAAAACATTGTGTATAATAGGACTAAAACTTCCATGGATTTTGGTATTCATACAGAGATCTTAGAACTACCTGTATATTCTGGCGTATAAGACTACTTTTTAACCCAAGAAAATCTTCTCAAAAGTCAGGGGTCGTCTTATACGTGGGAGTAGTCTTATACACCGGGAATCATCTTATAGAGCGGGTGCTGAAACTTCCAATGTGGATTGGAGAATCTGTGGCTGCTGCATATGATGGGGGGAGCTCAAAAATGGCAGTGGCCATGTCCGTGCCATATGCAGCGATTGTATGAAAGCTTTAAGGGCAACACTGTACAAGTATGGTAGAAGAAAATCCATTCATCAGGATTCGTGGACTTAATGCGGTCCCGATGGTGAAGTGAAGGGGCGCCTCACCGGGAAGGTGTAAGTGAAGGGCAGAGCAAGCTGCAGGCGTCTGGGGTGCCCGGGGTATGGAAAGAAGAGATAGAGTGACTCTGGGTGCAGAAAAACACACCTCTTACTGGCCCGCCCTTGTATCCTATTACTGTACCTCCTCCTCTGCCTCTCAGATCTCGCTCCTGAAGACTGCAGTGAAGTGGTGCAGGTGCGCATGCGCAAGATCTGAGAGGCAGAGAAGGAGGTACAGTAATGGGAAAATTACCATATTGAAATCAAATCTGATGCTTTTAAAAATTTATTTGGTGTGTGTTGGAAGAGGGTTAGTCTTATACATTGAGTCTATTCCAAACTCTATATTTTAACTGGAAAAATTGGGGTCGTCTTATACGCCAAGTCGTCTTATATGCCAGAATAGTAAACCTCAGTGGATAGAAAGGGCCAACTGTGGAGAGAAATGCCTTTTATTATTTCTGACTTTTTCTAGCAACCCTGGAGCAATCCTTGAATTGCTAATGTGCCATAAAATTGGGTTAAGGACTAGCATCTGGAAGTTTCTGGATGTCAACATTAGGAGTGACTTCTGGCCCTGTTCAGGTTTTGCTGTCCATATAGATAGACACTGAGAGTTAGGAGAAAGCAATTTGAGATAACATAAATGCTTTTTTGTATGTTTAAAAACACCCTGAGATCTATGGTAAAATGCCAACAACTTGACATATTTGTCCTGTCTAGGAATCCAAATTACATTCCTGAAATCTAAGAGTTACAGCAAGCATTTCTCCAAGGTTGCACGATCAAGCATTCTCTCATTAGCTATGGCCCCATGCTGCTGCTGCACATACATATGCATGCATGCACACACACATACACAGTTCTTGTATTGTGCTATGTTCATGGACAGAGAAGGTTGGCAGATCTCACCGTATGCCTTCCTGACTTGTTGTCAGCATTTATTGCTACTCTTACCACATTTCCCGGCTATGGAATAAGCAAACAGATTATAAGTGTGTTTGTGTAACTGCCTCTCAAATGTACACTTGTCATGCCAGCTGGAATAAGTAAAAGCACTACATCTAAGTTTTTCCAGATTATCTTTTTAGGTCATCTATGTTGCTCTATCTCCCAAGGCAAGTCAAAACAAAGAAATCAAACATGTAGGTTTCTAAACTTTGCTTCTTTCACAAAACAACTTTTTGCCTCATGGATCAGCTTCCAGAAGGGCTAGAGAATTTATTGAAAATTTAATGCCTAGGTTGCCTGATGATCCAAACTGGGTAGCATGCCAAAATCTAGAAAACAGGAAATATATCAATCCTAAATATATGGGAAAGGATTGTGTTAGGAATACAAAAAAGTCCCCAACTACATCCCAAAGTGAATAACACTGCCAGATTTATTGTTTGCTAGATTTGCCAGATTTATTGTTAAATATGTGTCTCTGAACTTTCTCTGGATTGAGCAATAACAGTTTATGAGCAAATTAGCAGGAAGCTGTCCCAAATAGTGCAAGCCCTGGTGTACTGTAATGAACTTTGTACTGCAATTGCATAGAAAGATCGGCTTGTTGTTGTTCTGAGAGCTAATTTTAGCTCCTTCTTTTAGGGACAGTTGTATAGAAAAGGCCTTTTTCTTGACACCAGAGACCATGGTACTAAAAGTAGCAATTATTGGGGCAGGTGTGAGTGGACTGGCCTCCATCAAATGCTGCCTGAGTGAAGGACTGGAGCCTACTTGTTTTGAGAAGAGTGATGGAATTGGAGGTCTCTGGCAATTCACAGTAAGTGGCATGAACTCAATTTAAACCTTTACGGTTCAAGTACATTTCACCAAATGCAAAGTTAATTCCTACCTGGTGTAATGGTAACTTTAAAAAGGTCAGTATAACTTGGAAGGAAAGTTATACTCAACAAAAAAAAAATCAAGGAAGGAAAGCTTCCTGCTTGGGTATAATTGCAAGAAAAATCAGAAAGTAGAATGAAACTGTATTAGAGCTTTGTACCCATGGGATGATGTGATTTATATGATTTGTATTTTATTGATTGTTTGTTGATGTTGTGTTTATTGATGTTTTGTTTGATTTACTTTGGGCTTGGCCTCATGTAAGCCGCACCGAGTCCCTTGGGGAGATAGTAGTGGGGTACAAATAAAGATTATTATTATTATTATTATTATTATTATTATTATTATTATTATTATTATTATCATACTTATTAAATAGTCTAAGCAGGAAACATCCTTCCCAGGATATATCTCAGGATATAAACGGGGATGTTTCTTTTGGGAACTGGAAACTGGGAAAGCTGTATATATATAAAGTGATATCTTTGAGAAGATAAAGTTGTATCTTATTATGTGATGAGCTGCTGAGCTTGTTGATCGAAAGGTCACAGGTTCAATTCCGGGGAGCAGCGTAAGCTTCCTCTGACATCCCTAGCTTCTGCCAACCTAGCAGTTCAAAAACATGCAAATGTGAGTAGATCAATAGGTACCACTCCGGCGGGAAGGTAACAGCGCTCTATGCAGTCATGCCAGCCACATGACCTTGGAGGTGTCTACGGACAACACCGGCTTTTCGGTTTAGAAATGGAGATGAGCACCACACCCCAGAGTTGGACACGACTGGACTTCATGTCAATGGAAAACCTTTACCCTTTTATTTATTATGTTTATGGCAGTGGAGACTCACACATTCCAGTTTAAAGCAGATAATCTGGAATCCGATCCTGGGGTAAAGGGCAGTGTATTTTAGAAAATGGTATTCATAACCATTTGGAGATCATAATCTTTTGAAAAGGCAGAGAAGAGCCAAAGACCTGTGTGAGTAGAATCTTCTTAAGTGGTACATAACCAGATGTAATTATGTATGGCAATTTGGCAATTTGTTAGACTGATTACCTAATCTGTTAGGAAACAGAGAATATGCCAATGCACAAAAAAGCAGTGCTTCAGAAGTATTTTTCAGTCGCTCAGAAACACATCTACCCCACCTTTGAACAACTTGGTTTATATTATGCACTCAAGAGACAAAATGAAGTAGACTTTGGTAAAAATAACATAATTGGTTTACTCACAACTTCATGTGTTCGGCATACACAGATACACACTTTATCAGTCCAGTTACAGATATGTTTGAAATAATCTCTATGTGCAGATTGCATAGGGAATCTTTCTTATAATCTAGTGTTTGTCTGTAGTCTGAGCCGGGGGGGAGGGGCTGAGTTTGATTCGGTGGGTGGGGGGAGCTCAAGATCTACCCTAGCAAACCTTTTGTATCATTACCCCAAATACCCCCATGCATATGGGATATATTGAGCATGGTGATCGGATCATGATATGAACAAACATAACAGTTTAAATAATGTACCAGTAAGGCCTTCTCACGGACCACCCTGAGAAATGGGGGGGGCGGGCTGAAGCCCCTCAAGCCCCCCCCCCCCCCCCCCCCCCGGCTACGGGCCTGGTCTGAGCAGTCCAAAGTTGAATGCAGTATGAAGTCTAAAATGGAGTCTGACGTCTGGGCAGTCTCAGAGCAGATTATGTGGTCTGCAGACCTCCCACAACTTCTCAGGAAACATAGAGCAAGGCAAGAAAGCTGCATATCAGATCATACACACAATAAGTAAGCTACAGGATTATAGATAAGGAAAATATTAGAGGAGGATTGAAGAAGGTTGTAATTTCCAACAGTGTAGAAGTGCCCTGGGACTGTTATTGCAAAAAACATCTTAAGAAACCTTAATTCTGAAAAATTATTTTGTATTACATAATACTGTATTATGTAGATCTTTAATTGTATAATCAAATTTGCAGATGTAGCAACACTAAATCAAAATGAGTGACACTCTTCTCTGAGACCTGCCGTACCAGGGTGGCTCTCCTCTCCTCAGTGTTAAAAGTCTCCATATTTACTGTAATTTGTTGATAAACTCCTAGATTTTCCCACAGAGAATTAGATACATAAATGTAGTGAGAGACAGCTACATGTTACTTAGAAACATTCATTGACTGTGTCAGACATATTGTATCTTGTGAGACTATCTTATTGTTGTGATTCACTAAGGGCCCTTCCACACAGCCATACAACCCAGAATATCAAGGCAGAAAATCCCACAATATTTGCTTTGAACTGGATTATATGGACTCGGATAACCCAGTTCAAAGCTGATCTTGTGGGATTTTCTGGCTTGATATTCTGGGTTATATAGCTATGTGGAAGGGCCCTCAGAGAAAATAGTCCCTGCTAGAATTTTAATCCTCTGAGTGCTTTGGAGGGTGGTGTGATGTTCAAGTGTATTTGAAAACAATACAATTTCTCAGCATTACTTCAGTATATAATTAGTCAAGGCACTGAATAATTGACATATGTAAGCCGCCTTGATTCCACTTCGGGTTAGAGAAAGACGGAGTATAAATAAAGTAAAATAAATAAATAAATAAACATGTATGTATATGTGCGTAGATTGTACACTACCAATGTTCTCTGTATAAAATGTTTAAAAATCCTAAATTAAAATTTCTCAGACTACAAATTTATTATTCATTCATTTACAGCATTTTTCTCCCGCTCTTCTCAGCCTGAAGGCAACTCAGGGCGGCGTACAGATTGGCAAGAATTAGATGCCATAAACATACATATATATACATATAAATTAAAAACATTTAATATCACATAATAAAAATCCATATAAAAATCAATTAAAACTATAATAATTATTGTCTACCAGTTTGACTCCTTATCCATTTGCATCGTCTAAGCCATTCCGTGTTTGTTATTTCATCCTACTGTATTTATCCAATTATGCCGTGTTACCAAAAGCTTGCTCAAAGAGCCAGGTTTTTACTCTTTTCCAAAAGGTCAGGAGGGAGGGGGCCGATCTAATATCCCTGGGAAGAATGTTCCATAGCAGAGGGGCCACCACTGAGAAGGCCCTGTCTCTTGTCCCCACCAAGCGTGCCTGCAAGGATGGCAGGATCGAGAGCAGGGCCTCCCCAGATGATCTTAAATTCCTGGATGGTTCGCAAGGAGAGATATGTTTGGACAGGTAAGCTAGGCTGGAATCGTTTAGGACATAAAAGTAGATAGTTTTTCCTTGAAGAAAAACTCAGTGGGCAATGGATCAGTAACTAATCCTCTTCCACTTTTGGGAAAAAGTTTCCGTTTTGGAGATTTTAGATTTCTTGATTAGGGGGACTCAACCTGTGTCTCTCATGCATTTTATGAACAATAAAAAACAGGTTTTTAGAGATTTTTACAGGTTTTAGAAGGTCTTTTAATCGTCTTTTTTATTGATCATTGTAATTGTCTGGATGCACAGGAAATTCCTGAAAGGGGAAGAAACACTGTGTACAGATCGGTGATCACCAATACCTCCAAGGAAATGACTTGCTTCAGTGACTTCCCATTTCCAGAGGATTACCCAAACTATCTACACAATTCTGTCCTCCTGAAGTATCTCAAGGCATATGCAGAACATTTCCAGCTTCTGGACCATATACAATTTAAGGTGAGGAGAACAAATGTTATGTTGTTAGATATTTTCCAAGAAAAATTCTATTGTGTTGCTGTGGGTTTTTTGGGCTGTATGGCCATGTTCTACTAACACTCTCTCCTGATGTTTTGCCTGCATCTGTGGCAAGCATCCGCAGAGGTTTGTTCAGAGATCCAATAGACCTCTGAACAATCTCTGAGGATGCTTGCCACAGATACAAGAGAAATGTCAGGAGAGAATGCTACTGGAACATGGCTAGACAGCCCGAAAAACTCACAGCAACCTAGTGATTCTGGCCATGAAAGCCTTTGACAACACATTAAACATGCTATTTTATCTATTCTGGATTGTATTCTTCTTATTCCTGACTTATTCTATTTTCAACAGTTAGAATACTGTTTTCCTTCTGGGAGACTAAGGCAACAAAAATATTAAACAATTCTGTCTTCTGGGTTTTTGAAAGTTTTTCGAGCTGTATGGCCATGTTCCAGAAACATTCTCTCCTGATGTCATGAGGTCGGTCTTCTGTCTGTCCTGTTAGCCTTTTATTGTCTACAGCAGGGGTCCTCAAACATTTTAAACAGAGGGCCAGGTCACAGTCCCTCAAACTGTTGGAGGACCAGATTATATGAAAAAAACATGAATGAATTCCTATGCACATATCTTATTTGTAGTGCAAAAAACACTAAACAATACAATAATTAAAATGAAGAACAATTTTACAAATATAAACTTATTAGTATTTCAATGAGAAGAAAGCCTAGAGAAGACAATTATGCTGGGGAAAGTGGAAGGAAAAAGTAAGAGGGGCCGACCAAGGGCAAGATGGATGGATGGCATCCTTGAAGTGACTGGACTGACCTTGAAGGAGCTGGGGGTGGTGACGGCCGACAGGGAGCTCTGGCGTGGGCTGGTCCATGAGGTCACGAAGAGTCGGAGACTACTGAACGAATGAACAACAGTGGGAAGTGTGGGCCTGCTTTTGGCTGATGAGATAGGATGTTGTTGTAGTTTTGTGCTTTCAAGTTGTTTCACTTTTAGGTTGATCCTGAGCGAGGTCCAGGTAAATGACCTTGGAGGGCCGTATCCAGCCCACGGGCCTTAATTTGGGGACCCTCAGTCTGCAGAGTAGCTCCACTATTTCCTGTCCTTTTTCAGAATGCTTCATATTTAAACTGTCTAGTGAGCCTGAGCTCATTCAGAACCTTCCATTTTTCTTTGTACTTGCTAATTGTTTGTATTCTTTTGTGATAATTCCTCCATTCTTCCATTTCTTGTGCATGTCTCTTTTAAATCTCAACTAATTTGAAAGTTTACACACAGTTCTCTGTTTTTTTAGCCACCTCCTAGAATCATAGAGTAATAGAAGTTGGAAGAGGCCACATGTGCCATCTAGTCTAACCCCTGCCATGCATTAATCATCAATTAAAGGAAAAGCTTGGAATCTTAATCTTATCCACATTATCTGGCAGTGCAGACTCATATAACCCAGTTTAAAGCAGAAAACCTGGGATCAGATCCTGGGATATCGGGTCTGTCTGGAAGGGCCCTGAGTGGTTTGTGTGGAGCAAAGAACATAATCTGAAACAAATATTTGAATGGGGCTACCCTTCCCTACCATATTAAATAACATGGATATTATCTTTGAGAACCGAAGCAGTAAATGGGACCTATGTCATGAGTAGGTTTATGGGATGGCAGCAGACACAACCAACTACCAAAAAAGGGCTGAAATCAAGCTGAGATTATGGCGATGGCAGTTCTTGTACCACTCCCATCATAAATCCTTGCTGCTTTCATCCACTTGCTGACAGTCAATATGCACATATTTTGTAAATAATCCATCAAAATCTGAGCCCTTTTAATTTACACAATTACAGCATACTCTTTCCACTTTGTCATGTGATAATTGTATGGAATCTTGAGATATTAGAGGCACTAGTGTTCTTCTGCTGCAAATTCTAAATACTCATCCCTACACTATAAAATACTGAGATTCCATAGGAAGTTGTGCTATAACGGTTAAAATGGAATCACAGCACTATATTTGTGTAGTGTGCAAAGCCCCCAGGTTAGATAAGGCAGAAAGAGCATCAACAAGAAATTTTGGTTTAAGAGGAGCCCGGGGGTGGGGTGGGGGGTGATACTAAAGCAGCCAAAATATAGCAGGTTTTCAAAGGATGCCATCAGGATATATAACAGTTAAATGACTTAAGAATGCTTTATTATTTTCTGGGGATTTTTTACAAGACTACAGTATACAGCATCAGAAAACATCCAGATTTCGCATCCACAGGACAGTGGGTAGTTCATACTGAGACTAATGGGCAGCAGGCATCGGCCGTTTTTGACGCTGTTATGGTTTGCAGTGGCAGTTATTCAGAGCCCAAGCTACCACTAGACGCCTTTCCTGGTAAGTTTCCCTGGTAAGTCACGTACATAGGTAATCAAAAGTCAGTGGAAGTCACTTTGTAGTGTTTATCTTGATTGATGTTCCTACCATACTCTTTACTGAAATCCCCCATACATTTTTGAAACAATACATTCTAGCGATATCTGTATAACTAACATCTGGCCTGGACCTTAAATTAGCAATAGAAAGTTAAGCATTTTGTTGTTTTTGATTACTTATAGATTGGTCTACCTAGATGCAATGTGAAATCTGAAATTCTGACACAGGTAATAAATAGCAAATGTGTTGTAGGTTTTTCGGGCTATATGGCCATGTTCTAGTAGCATTCTCTCCTAATGTTTTGCCTGCATCTATGGCAAGCATCCTCAGAGGTTGTGAGGTCTGAAGATGCCATAGATGTAGGCGAAACATCAGGAGAGAATGCTTCTAGAACAGGGGTCCTCAATTTTTTAAACGGAGGGCCGGGTCATAGTCCCTCAAACTGTTGGAGGGTCGGATTATAATTTGGAAAAAAAACCATGAATGAATTCCTATGCACACTGCACATATCTTATTGAAAGTGCAAAAAACACTTAAAAACATACAATAATTAAAATGAAGAACAATTTTAACAAATACAAACTTATTAGTATTTCAATGGGAAGTGTGGGCCTGCCTTTGGGTGATGAGATAGGATTATTGTTGTTGTTATGTGCTTTCAAGTTATTTCAGACTTAGGTTGAACCTGAGTGAGGCCGGGTAAACAACACTGGAGGGCCGTATCCAGCCCTCGGGCCATAGTTTGAGGAAGCCTGTTCTAGAACATGGCCATATAGCCTGAAAAACCTACAACCCAGTGATTCCAGCCATGAAAGCCTTCGACAATACAATAGTAAATGTAATTAAGTACTGCAGAATAAGAGACAGATATATATGACTGAGAAACTCTCCTCTGCACTTACCAAAATACTGCATTTTATTGCATAATTGTCACCACTGTATAACAGTTGGACCCCATGTTTTGGGTGCCAAAAACTATATTTTTCTTTTCCTCGCATAACCATCACATTCTCATTTTGAACTGGTTTTCCCTTCCTTCTGTCTTTCTCCAAAGACAAAGCAGTAAAAAACTATAAAATGAGGGTCTCTGAAGCTTCACTCTTCTCTTTTCTCCTCCCTCCTCCTTCCAAGGAAAGCGAGTTTACAACATTTTAAATGGAATTATTTGGAAAAAGGAGGGAGGAAGGAAGATCCTGGTTGCATTTCAGGTTCTTTTAAACTGCTTTGTCATAGAGGAAGGAAAGAAGAGTGGAGCTTCAGAGACTTCATTTTTATCATTCTTAAACTGCCTTGCCTTCAAAGAAAGAAGGAATGAAGGGAGGGAAAATCAGCCTCAGATGTCTCTAAAGTTTAAAAAAAACAAACAAGCATAAATGGGGCTGTTTGTTTGAGGTTGGATCATCTGTCCTATTTCTCTCCTTTCGGAGGTGACACATTTTATTTAAATCAAGAACAACTGAAACTTGAGAATAAAGGCAGAATTTTTTCCTTGTATAAATCACACACTTTTCTTTTCCAAAAAATTGTGGGAAAATGCAGCTATTATGTGATGAAAATACGGTAATTGTAATAAGCATATTTCCTATTTAGCATGACAGGAGGTATGATTTTTGTATGTTTAAGGCACAAAACATCTTGACTTGCTTGATCAACTATGATGATTTGGGTTTTTCAAAACCTCTATTTATGTTGAGATATTTTTGTCTGCAAATATTCAATTTACATTAGTAATGTACACACCTCCTTAGAGCTTTGGGAATAAATCTTGTATTTTAGTGGTGAAAATACACTAATTCCAGGAACATGGGCCATCCAAGTGCATTAAGGCCTTGGAGTATCCTCTTAGCTCTTACATATCAACGTAAGAATTCAGCTAGATACAGCACTAGCTATATGTAAAAAGGCAGAAGTGGGAACCACTCAGCCCTTTAGGTGTTCCTGAACTGCAATTTCTATGATTCATCATCACTGCAATGCTGGCTTGGGCTGTTGGGAGTGCTTCGTATCTCCCATTGTTACAATAATTGTACTATTGCCTAGTGAGAAATGTTTTATGAAAGAAGTGTTTATAAATCCTTTTCTTTCCACAGGAATTGAGAAATTCAAGGGTCGCTATATACATAGCTGGGAATACAGAGATCAAAAAGAGTTTGAAAGGCAAAATGTCCTTGTAATTGGTGTTGGAAATACTGGAGGGGACATTGCTTCAGAGGTCTGCCGCACAGCTGCTAAGGTGAATAATTTGTTGCTACAAAGATTTGAAGGAAGACTTCCACTTCGCAACAGTACCTTTACATTGTGTTTATTGAGGATTCAAAGTAGTCTACATGTATTCTCTTGCATTTCTTAGAACAAACCTGTAAGATTGTTCATTCCTATTATTTCTAACATCGTCAGGTTTTAAAAATAGCTGCAAGGGACAGTCAAAATTCATGATTAACGTGGTTGACATTCAGGAGGGAAACATAAACAAGTTTGTGTTTTACATATACCTATACCTATACCAGGGGTCCTCAAACTAAGGCCCAGGAGCCAGATACGGCCCTCCATAGCCATTTACCTGGCCCTCATTCAGGGTCAACCTAAGTCTGAAATGACTTGAAAGCACACAACAACAACAATCCTGTTATTGGTACTGGTAGTCCAGGCAAAACATCAGGAGAGAATGCCTCTAGAACATGGCCATATAGCCCGAAAAAACCTACAACAACCCAATAACAATCCTATCTCATCAGCCAAAAGCAGGCTCACACTTCCCACTGAAATACTAATAAGTTTATATTTGTTAAAATTGTTCATCATTTTAATTATTGTATTGTTTTTAAGTGGTTTTTTTGCAGTGTGCATAGGAATTCATTCATGTTTTTTTCAAGTTATAATCCAGCCCTCCAACAGTTTGAGGGACTGTGACCTGGCCCTCTGTTTAAAAAGTTCAAGGACCCCTGCTCTATACTGTTTTGATTTTAGTTTAACTTAGCTAAACTTGTCTCTGTAAAATTAACATATTACTCACATTTATAAATTATCTGATGTGCCCTTTTCTGTTTTAATGAAGCACCCACATTCAAATACATTAGACTTTGAGGCATTTTGATCAGTCTATATCAGTGGTTCCCAACTTCTTTTTTGACCAGGCTTGGTTATCTGGAATGCTAATTCAGAAATTGCATTGGATAGACCACATCAGCTCTAGTTTCTGATACAGAACATATGCCATCCACAACATATGCTATGGGCGAGCAGTAGTCACCATCTGCTCGCCCATAAAAACAGTGAGGTCGTGGACCATGTTTTAGTTCTTGGAGACCACCGGTAGTCCATGGACCACAGGTTGGGAACCAGTGGTCTACATAAAAGGAAAAAGTTTCCTACCTAAACTGCACTCTGGTCAAGACTTTCTCTCAACTTCTACAGCTACCACACACATTTATAATGTGCTTATTATAAATCCTTTGAGGCATCCTACTAATTCTATTCTCTCATCCCCTCATGACAGAACCTTGGCATATTAAATCTATTATGGATTGTATATATCTCCCTAAGAATACTCTTCTCAGCTTTGATTCCCCTTTAGGTCTTTCTCAGCATCAGAAGTGGAGCATGGGTGCTCAGCCGTGTTGCTGGATCTGGCTGGCCTTCTGACATGATTTTGGGAACTCGCTTGATGGCATACATTCAACGGCTTCTTCCTGGATGGATATTGCGTAGAATGAAGGCAAAGATATTCAATCGGTGGTTTAACCATGAGAACTATGGATTGGTTCCTGTTCAAAGGTATTACCATTATTATGGATGAAATTGCATGTGCTAGAAAGCCTTGCTTACAATATCTAAAATTTTCATGGTGACCATAGTTAAGACATAAATAAACCTCTGGGTCAAGACAAATCTAGGCTGGAGGAATAATTTTTCAGGGCACTAGAACAAAACTATTTCATTTTAAAAGGAGACAAGCAACTCATGAAAACCACTTCCCCAGACTTGCTGGTTACTTGCCCATTACTTGATTCTTTCCTGGTTATTTCTGTGAGCTAGTTCCTTACTTACTTAGGCGATCCCTCGTTGTCTGAGTAGGATTGTCTTCCAAGATCGGTGTACTGGTGGTGGGTACATAGGTGACTGTGAAGCCCTATTCTTGACCTGCATGGTCTCCTGCAGTGAGGGCATTGGTTTCCAAGTGGAAGGCGGTCCCGGTCGGGGTTGGCTTGACACGCCTTCTTCTTGGCATGTTTCTCTCTTTCGCCCTCTATTCATGCCTCTTCAAATTCTGTAGCACTGCTGGTCACAGCTGACCTCCAGCTGGAGCACTCAAGGGCCAGGGCTTCCCAGTTCTCGGTATCTATGCCAGAGTTTTTGAGGTTGGCTTTGAGCCCACCTTTAAATGTCTTTTCCTGTCCACCAACATTCCGTTTTCCATTCTTGAGTTTGGAGTAGAGCAACTGCTTTGGAAGACGGTGGTTGGGCATCCGGACAACGTGCCCGAGCTAGTTCCATAGATAAGAAGAATACTCAAAACTCTGTTGCATCGTGTAAGATTGCCTCACCAAATGGGCCCTGCATCCCAACCCTTGGGTTCACTCATTCTTTCCTCCCTCTTAATCCCTTTTTGGATTAGATACTTGGCCTCAAGGTGATTCCTATGTGAACCAGTGGATGTGTAGTTTGTGGGTTTACTTTGGTACGCATGACCACACGCACTATCAAACTGCATACCATGGAAATTGAACAGGACATTAATGCAAATATCTGCTCTTGTCTTGATGAATATACATTTGTCAGCTTTTCTCAAATTCATTGTCATGTACAAACACTGGTTAAGCACTTCTCCACTGTCATATGTACACTGATCTTTTTTTAAAATTGAGAATATTTATTTTGCAGAGCAATTCTGTGAATGTTTACTCAGAAGGACATCCCACTGTGATCAGTAGGTCTCCAGTAACACACACATACACAAACCCCAAACCTATAAAATAACTGCAATATTTAGAAATAATCTGTTCAGAGCAACAGTGGAGAAAAACAGTGAACTGGCAATTTGTCTACATATGTACATATCCAAAGCAACATACTGTATTTCATTGTATAATAGTTGCCACCACATAATAATCACACTCCCATTTTTTGGGTGCGAAAAATTGTATTTTTGTTTTCTTCCCATAATAATCAATAATGGAGATTTTTAGCTGGTTTCTCCTTCCTTCCTTTTTTTCTGAGAAGGCAAAGCAGTTCAAAAACTATAAAATTCTCTCCTCCCTCCTCAGCAAGGCAGTTTACAAAATCTGGAATTGAGTTATTTGGAGAAAGGAGGGAAGATCCGACTTCTAGAGACCTCAATTTCAGGTTTTTCAAATAGTCTTGCCACTGAGAAAGGAGAAAGGAGAGAAGAGTGGAGCTTCAGAGACCTCCATTTTATAGTTTTTAAAATGCCTTGACTCCGGAAACAGAAAGAAGGAAGGAAGAATCAGCCACAAATCGTTCAGTAGTTTAAACAAACAAACAAAATGAGCTGTTTGTTTGAGGCTCCCCCCCCCCCTTTTGATGGTAAAGTATTTTATTTTTAAAAACCAACAACAGAAACTTGAAAAGCAAAGGCAGATGTTTCCTTGTGTAATAGTTGCACATCCATTTGGATGAAAAAATGGGGAAATTGCCAATAATAATAATAATAATAATAATAATAATAATAATAATAATAATAATAATAATCTTTATTTATATCCTGCCACCATCTCCTCAAAGGGGACTTGGGGCGGCTTACATGAGGCCAAGCCCGGTAACACATTACAGCAAAATAAATACAGAACGACAAAAATAACATCACAATAAAATACAAGTACAATAAAACAGTGCAAAGTAACAAAATGAAAAATCAAACGTAGTGGGCGGGCCAAATGTACAACATAAAATGATAAAACTCTGGATGAGATAAAAATAAAAAAGGTATATTTGTAAGGGAGGAGCTCGTAGGGGACGGAATAGTGGAGACAGGCCTTCAGAAAGGTGGACGGAAGTGCAATATATTATGCAATGAAATATGATATATCCTAAGGCATAAGGGCATAGACTTGTTGGAAATTACAACCTTCTTCACGCTTCCTCTAGTAATTTTTGCATCTATAATTTTGTTTGCTTACTGTATTGTATATATGGTCCARTATGTAGGAGGGGCTGCAGACAACATGATCTATAATAATATAATAATAATAATAATAATAATAATWATAATAATTATTATTATTATTATTATTATTTATTTGACCAGTCATATGACCATTTCAAAATAAAACACGAGTAAAAATCAAGGCAAAAAGGTGAGGACATSATATATTTATTTATTTATTTATTACTGTGCTTGTATACCGCCGTTTCTCAGCCTAAATTGGCGACTCAACGCRGTTTACAACAGTACAACAAACAACAATATTCAGWTTAAAACCATARAAARCAGCATACACAATACACAATATACAMTATTGRCCCGTCAATAATAATCCATGCATCTCTTAACTAAAATCATAATCCAATTTCATTGTCCATATTRCCAGTCTTTTAGTCATCAGTTCATTGTACCRAATTAACCAAATGCCTGTTCGAACATCCAGGTCTTTAATCTTTTCCGAAACACCATCAGCGAGGGGGCTGATCTTACCTCCATGGRAAGGGCGTTCCAAAGCCGAGGGGCCACCACAGAAAAGGTGCTCAGATCACAGACTCCATTTTAGATTCTTCTTAGACTTTGGACTTAAGAGCAAACACTTGCCTGCTCTTATAAGAAAGATGCCCTGTGCCATCTGCACAGAGAGTATCTCAAACACATCTGAAACTGGACTGATAAGCTATTTACCTGTGTTATGCTGAACACATGAAGGTTGTGAGTGAACTAAATATGTTATTTTGCCAAAGCCTACTTCATTTTTGTCTCTGGAGTACATGATATAAACAAGTTGTTTTATGGGAGAGTAGATATATTTTTGGGCACAAAACCTTTGCTGTTTTGTGCATTGGCATATTTTCTGTTTTTCTAGCAGACCAGAGACAATAGGTTCAGCCTAACAACGGAAGACATTGCTTTGTATATTACATCTGGTTGTATACCATATGAAAAGATTCTACTCAAATGGGCTTTTTGGCTCTTCTCTGAAAGATCAAACCTTTCCAAAAGGTTATGATCTGCAAATGGTTATGAATGCCATTTTCCAAAAGGACTCAGGGCAGGGGTGGGTGGGCTTCAAATGTTGCCAAGAGATTCTGTGATCTATTTGCCTTAGGTTCACCAAAAGTTGGAAATGATTTGAAAGCACACAACAGCAGCAACATAAGAACATCTCTCTAGTTTAAAAAAAGATAACACCAAGAAATATGAGCAGTGATAGTTAAACATGGGTTGACATTCCTTTTCACCTTCTATTACTTCGTAGCTCATGGACACCCGTGATAGTGAATGATGAGTTGCCCTCCTGCATCCTCTCTGGTGCCATTGTGGTAAAGCCAAATGTGAGGGAATTTACTGAGACTTCTGTCATCTTCAAGGATGGAACAACAGAGAATATAGATGTGATCATCTTTGCTACAGGTTACAATGCCTCTTTTCCTTTCTTGGAAGAGCCAGTTCAAAACATGTGCGATAACAGCGTATCCCTTTATAAACGCATCTTCCCTCCTCACTTGGAAAAACCCACGCTGGCAATCATTGGTTTTATAGCAATAAATGGATCGATTCCACCTGTGGCAGAACTTCAGGCTCGCTGGGTCACAAGAGTGTTTAATGGTAAGAAACCTAAGCTGGAGACAAACATATTAAGGTATTGTCGAAGGCTTTCATGGCCAGAATCTCTGGGATGTTGGCCATAGATGCAGGCGAAATGTCAGGAGAAAATGCCTCTAGAACATGGCCATATAGCCCGAAAAAACCTACAACAACCCCAAAATATTAAGATTTTAGTTAGATTTTTAATGCTTCTCTGCAACTATGTGTGCCAAGTCCCTTTTTTAAAAAAGGATGACATCACTCGGCATTCATTAAATTGCTATAACATGATTTTGGTTTCATTATAAAGCTTTCTTAAGCAAGGAATATTCAGAGATGTTTTCCCCCCCAGTTCTTTCATATATGGCCTACAGCACCAGATATTAGTTGGTGGTCCTCCTATCCCACTACTAACTAGTGCTGGTCCTACTTAGTTTCCAAGATCAGATTGGATCTGTTGCGTTTAGGTGTGTTGCTGTTACATTTAGCTATTTGTCTTACATAGATTTTGGACCAAAAAATATAAGCACCTTATCTTAAGCATTTTAATCAAAATTTAAAAGAATTTTTTAAACAAACGGAGGGAAGGTATTTCCCTTTTTTTTCTGGATCGCCATATTTCTGGTTGAGAATACAGAACTGAATATGTTACATACATCAATAATTAATTCCATAATTTCTAAAAATGAAATGAAAAGACTTTGGATCTATAGAAAAATTGGATTTCCGTTGGCTTGCCAGCATTTGCCCTCTAGTGGCACATTTTAATTATTCTTCCAAAAGCAGTAGTGTAATTTTAAAGCACTTTTCAAATGTGTTGTCAAAAGCTTTCATGGTTGGAATCACTGGGCTGTGTGGCCATGTTCCAGAAGCATTCTCTCCTGACGTTTCGCCCACATCTATGGCAGGCATCCCCAGAAGTTATGAGATTTCTTGGAAATTAGGGAAGTGAAGTTTATATATCTGTGGAATGTCCAGGGTGGGAGAAAGAACTTTTGTCTGCTTGAGGCAAGTGTGGATGTTGCAGTTAGCCACCTTGATTAGCATTTAATGGTCTTGTAGCTTCAACACCTGGCTGATTGCTGGCTGGGGGATCATTTGTTGGGAGGTATTAGCTGGCCCTGATTTATTCTTGTCTGGAATTCCCCTGTTTTTGAGTGTTGCTCTTTATTTACTGTCATGATTTTAGATTTTTTTAATTCTGGTAACCAGATTTTGTTTACTTTCATGGTCTCTTCCTTTCTGTTGAAATTGTTCACATGCTTGTGTTTTCAATGACTTCTCTGTGTAATCTACATGGTAGTTGTTAAGAGTGGTCCAGCATTTCTGTGTTCTCAAATAATATACTGTGTCCAGGTTGATTCGTTTGAGTGCTACATCTGGTGGTGACTCACCTAAACTGGGCTTTACAGGCCAATAGATACTCCAGCAGATACATCAGAAGAGCTGAAAGGCCAAGAACAAACCACGAGAGTAAAGACAAAGATCCTTCAGAGGAAAAGTGTTCTTAGCATACATTAAGGAAACCACTGACTGCATAGGGAAGCTGACGAAGAAACACAACCTACAAACTATCTACAGACCCACTAAAAAAATCCAACAAATGCTACGTTCAGCAAAGGACAAGAGGGATCCTCTCACTTCTACAGGAGTCTACCGTATACCATGCAGCTGTAGACAAGTCTACATAGGGACCACCAAACGCAGCATTGCCCAAACCTGAATCAAGGAACATGAAAGGCACTGCAGACTACTTCAACCTGAGAAGTCAGCCATAGCAGAGCACCAACCTGTGTACAGTTTTAACACAAAGGAAGAAAACATGAAAATGAACAAAATCTGGTTACCAATATTTTAAAAACCTCTAAAATCAGAACAGTAAATAAAGAGCAACTCTCAAAAAACAGGGGAGTTTCAAACAATAATTAAATGATTAAATGCTAATCAAAGTGATTAATTGTAATATCCACACTTGCCTCAAGCAGACAAGACTTCTTTCTCCCACCCTGGACATTCCACAGATATATAAACCTCATTGCCTAGTTTCCAATAGACCTCCCAACCGCTGAGGATGCCTGCCATAGATGTGGGTGAAACATCAGAAGCTAATGCTTCTAGAACATGGCCATACAGCCTGGAAAATTCACAGCAACCGACTTTCACCCACCACCCCCAAGCTCTGTACATTACCATTATCTGGTTCTATAAAGAGAGCTTTCTGGATGTGTAAGGAGAGAATGCCTCTAGACCAGTGGTTCTCAACCTGGGGTCCCCAGATGTTTCTAACCTCCAACTCCCAGAAATCCTAACAACTGGTAAACTGGCTAGGATTTCTGGGAGTTGTAGGCCAAAAACATCTGGGGACCCCAGGTTGAGAACCACT